GTTCTCATCCGCCCACCCCTGTAACCTGTCTAGGTCTGATTGCACCCTATTTCTCCCTTCTAGCATGCCCACTTCCCCCCACATCTTAGTGTCCTCTGTGAATTTCAACAGGGTGCTTTTTACCCCCTCATCCAAGTCGCTGATGAAGATGTTGCACAGTACGGGCCTGTGAACCAAGCCCTGCCGAACCCCACTGCCCACATCCCTCCAGGTCAAAAATGACCCGTCCACCACCACTCTCTGGGTACGGCCCTCCAGCCAGTTTGCGACCCATTTGACTGTGTAGGTGTCGACGCCACAGTCCCCTAGTTTTTTAATGATAACGGGGTGAGAGATAGTGTCGAAGGCCTCCCTAAAGTCTAGAAAGATTATGTCCACTGCTACCCCTGCATCCAAGGATTTGGTGACCTGGTCATAGAAGGCCACCAGGTTGGTCTGACAGGACCTGCCTCTAATGAACCCGTGTTGGTTGCCCCTAAGTGTAATCTCCCCCGCTGGCCCCTCATGGACATGTGCTATGATAATTTTCTCAAAGCTTCCCCAGGATCGGGGTAAGACTAACTGGCCTATAGTTTCCTGGGTCCTCCTTCCTCCCTTTTTTCAGGGATCTTGCTGGGATCATTTGATCTCAGCAGTATTCCTGCCCAGAGCAGGGGGACTGAATTCAATGAACTTTCAAAGTCCCTTCCAGACCTTAATTTCTGTGATTTCTATGAAGTCAGGGGAGCAATTCAATAAGAGTAACAGAAAAAGAAGATTGGGGAGAAATTTTAGTTTTCTGCAGATATACAATTTGCTGTTTATGTATTCTGCAAGGGGAATTATAGCAATGTGTGCCATTGAAATAAATTTCTGCAAATGGGAGCTTGATAGGAGGAAAATTTATTTTTGCCTGGTAAATTTAGCCCTAAGGCAGGCAGTGGTAAATTCATTGTCTATGGTAAACTATACATGATACACAGGGCACGTTTTGTGTTTTTATTCCATTGATTAAAAGATTCAAGTATCTTTCAAATAGCTTTTGTGAATTTATAAGGCAAACATGGTATGAGTAAACGGCACAATTACTGTTCATAGTTCAATTTAAACTGAAATAGCTGTTCAGAAGGTCAGAAAATTTAATTTGGGAAATGAAATTTAATTAATAAACAGGAGATTATAATGTACTGAAATCATAGAGCTTTCCTAAATTGTAATGAATCATCTTTAATAAAAGAAAGTAGCCTTTGAGTATTTGTTGAAGTGCCTGAAATCCTGCTTGAAGCTCTTCTAACTTGGATTGTTTCAGTGTCATTCAAATATATACAGTCCCCTCACATCTGAAGCACGTCAAAATGGTACTGAAGCATGCTGTGATGGTGTTCTTCAGCTAGGGGTCTGTAGAATAGAGATCTCAGTGTATCTTCCAGGTCTAGTTTCCAGAGATTCCCTAGGACTGCTGATTACCAGGAATCCTGGTTTTCCCTGATTTAAAAAAAAAATCCCTAATTTTCGGTTAAAAAAAATAACCCCAAATCCACATTTTTCTGTGATTAAAATGAAACACCGCTAATATAT